GTGGCCGTGGGCAGCTGGCTCCTCATTTGGGCCTTTCTGACAGCAGTGCCAGCCCCAGCCCTGCTCAGTTAGGCTTGTTTTTCCTTCTGCTAACACATGTTTTCTGCTGTTTTGCTGAACACATCTTCCTTAGGTTCCCACCATCCTGACTCTGTTCTGTTTACTTTCTTTTAGGTATTTTCTCTGAGCTGTAGACTCTCAAACTTTTGCATAAAGTGGACAGTATTTTAAAGAGATTGTCTTATAGATGTTCATAGTTTTCCCATTTCTGATCATGGAACAGTTTTACGTAGCCTACAACAGCAGTTTGGAAGGGATGACATTACCACGCTGATATTTTGTGCATTTAGAGCCTGTTTCAGGGCTGGTTGAAACGAATGTGCAAGACATTCAGTATCTGTGTGATCAGCCAGTTCTGTAGTGCAGAACTACATCACTTCAGTGGATGTCTCCTGGCTTCTACTGATGTCTGCTCAGCGTTTCGGGTCCCAGCTTCGCCGGGTGCTGCCCGTTGTCCTCACTGCAGGAGCAGCTCCTGCTTATGCACTCCTGCTGCCCAAGAGCATCCYGAGAGATACCAGAAGTATCTTCCTCATCATTAAAAGTCTCATGAGCATCCTCATCATTAAAAAAGGCTTACGACAGGCCTAGCAGGTAGTGCTGAACACAGAGTTGAAAATCTTGAGGCCTTTTGCCATTATTTCTTTGCAACCACTTCAGCCCATCGATTTCTTCTCTGCTCTGGACCTAGAAGGAGGGAATTGCAGCTCTGCTCGGCACAGCCTTGTTCCTCATGATCTTAACTGCCTTTTTTAAAGACATGGTTGCATGCAGTGGCATCAAACACTCATCTGAAGCTCCGTTAACAGATGATGCCAGCTGCTCACGGACACACCTGCTTCTTAAGAGCTAGGAAAAACCAGGAGGTTACTTGAACCTGTAGAGTGTCCTTACTTTGCCTAATGCTAGCCAAGGAATTTGCGTATTGTAAATTCTAGTGTCTGTTATTTAGCAGAAAAAAGTGTGGACTACGGTATTTGTGAAACAAACTTCTGATGATGCAGCATTTTTATGCAAATGTAGCTTTGATAATTAGTTCTAATATCTTTGTATATATTAAGTAAAAAAAAAAAGTGATAATCATTTTATTTCTGCCAACATAAAAAAACAAACAAAAAGGCTGTTTCTGGCCAGGTACTGCCTTTGCCAAATACACATTTCAATTAAACATTGCTGTGTTTACATTTCTAGATAATAAAATTCTTGGGTTTATGGACTGCCAGAAGATAGAAAGCTGAGATTAACGTCTCAGGTTTGATTGGATTTGTCGTAAAGTAAAAGTGATCATGAAACAATGACTATTTAATAAACTTTCAGCTGTTAGGGGGCTTTAGGGAAGTTTGAGCTTTTGTTAACCCTACTGTCTTCTCTTGTCTTTGTAATCCATCCGAGTATGTGGTTGCTATTAAATCTTTTCATTAGTTTGATGGAGGATTAAGATTAGCCCTTCTGTCTGTTCATCAGTGACAGTGGCACAAATCACAACCCATTGCTTGGATTTCTCCCTTCTGGATATTTATTTTGTGGAAATCATATGAAGAATAATATTGCCGGGATAAACAACTGGTGGGCATGGATTGCATTTGTAGCAAACACCTCTTCTCTGTATGGTCACCCAGCTGTCCAGGATACTGATGTTTGGCCAGACACAGAAGTATGAGATGCCAGAGTACTTGTAATACTCTATGCATTATCCATACATACACTGGTGCATGCTTAGGGCTACTCCAGAGAGCAGAGTGTACCCTGAGTTCTGGAGTTTCTCCTGYGTAATATTATTTGAAGCCGGTTTCACACCCCTGATTGAATCCATCTTGCATCTGCAAAAACATGATAAAGATTTTTCTTTTTTTTTAGCKGTATCTCAAGACCTTTGAAAAGACAGATGATGTTAACGTCTTCTCGGCAGACTAACAGATTGGTTGTGCATTTATGTGGCTTAGCTGCATATGGTAGGCATGTCAGACTGTGAAGGGATGTAAAGTGTTGCTGCTCTGTAAAATGCTACTTTAATATTATTTTTCTTATCTCTCCGACGGTAAGCATCTGAAACTTTCATGGAGCATTTCAGTTGTGAATCTCAAACACACATATTATTGTGTATTTAGGGCTTAATTCAATTTGCACTAAAGGAAAAAAAATCCTCATTCTTTATTGTACTTGTTTGAGGTCCTCAAAGCAAATTTTCTCCATCGAAAGTAGAATCGATGCTAATCTGGTCACATAAAACCATACTTTTGGGGGGTTTTCTTTAGGATTTCTGTGGATTTGATTTAATAAAATTTCTGAATTTCTGAACTTTTTGTGGATTTCTGATTTAGTAAAATGAACAAACCCATCGATTCTGCTTTCAGACATTCTGCTGCTGTGAAGCAGAGAGTTGTCCAGTAAACTGGAGAGTTGCACCAGTCTCTTCTGTCAGAGGACACGCACACAGAAGCCTCGCTCAGCTCCTTTTGGCTCTCATTTTACTTCAATGCTTTGCAGCAGGGCCGCAACAAGACAAATTTGCCTTTAAACCACCCTTTAATTTTGGAGGATCCGCAGTTCTGCGCCCGAGCCTGGTTTTCTTTTGTGCTGCCTCCCGAACAACAAGCCTATGTGGTATCYGACGCTGGGCCCTTTCCAGTGATTTATTAACTGTGTCAGAGCAGCGGTTGTGAATGCTGGGAAGCTCTTGTAGACGGTGACAGTTGATATTGATTATGACAGTTTGTGGACTCTTGTAGACTCTAGTGTGTTTTCAGACACTGGAGAGTATTTTGTCCCCTTACTATACATACCAGGGGCTATAGCTCATAGTGTTGTCTTAAGAAAAGGGCCCATTGTCCAGAGGCCTCGTTGCGCGCAGAAGTTGTGTAGCTTATTATGAGAGAAAGAGCAGAAAAGCCCCAGCATCCTATGGAATAGCCAAGCAAATGTGGATTGCTTTTTTGGGGAAAAAAAAAAAAAAGGGGAATAGTTTGTTCTGCTTCTGTTCTTTCAATGGAATGAGCCACGCGGCTGATAGAAGTGGGTAAACTGGTCATTTAAGAAAATAAGATGTGTCCTGTGCTATCTGTTGTCCAGAAATCCAGGCTTATAATGAAGGCTTCCTGTCTGCTAATTTTTAAAGCTTGCCGTCAGTGTTGTGTCTTCACAGAGACTACAGATTTCTAAAATGGGGTTGAGGAAGAGGATTTGTGCAAACTTGGGAGGGGGTGAAAGCTGGCGAGTGAGCTGGTYAGATGGGAGCATCAAAAAGATCACCCCAACGAGAGACTCCTTATTGCTGTTTGCTTTTAGCAAGGCAGGAGGAGAACAAACCTTCCTATTTGCCAAGAAGCCTCTTCAGTGTGAAAGGAAAACAGTCAACAGCTGAGTGGGGACAGACGCTCCGATCGGGAGTCAAAAGCCATTTGGTTTACTGGGCTCTTCCAAATTATTCCATGGTTTCTATACCAATGGAAAAAAACCTCTGTCCCAATGCATTTATTTTTAAAATAAGTACCAGTACTTCAGGCGCACCAGTGATAGTAAAGGAGCCAGTGAGTGTTTTCTGTTCTTGAAAGCTCTTTTGTAACATTTCAAAATACTGATTTTAGCTTGATTTAGATGCAGTTAATGCTGCAGTTTTATGTTAGAGTGAYGCAAAACAATGTTCTGCACATATTTAAAAACAAATATAATAGCAGGTCACATGTGAAGTCAGTAAAATAAATGAGATAGCAAGTCATATGTGAAGTTACATTATTTCAGGCGTACTTTGGGCCAATTATACGGCGGTAAGCTGAGAGCTGTTAGAACTAGATTCTGACATGTCTATGGGCCAGATATTTTCCAGCTAAATCCATTAAAATCAGGTCATTTGTCTGCACCCCACTTAGGGTCATTTGTTTACACCACAAGATCTTTGAGAAGGAGCTTTTCTTACTATCTGTACGTTCCCTCTTGCCATTGCAGTCTTGATCTCTGCTGGGATTTCTAGATGCTGCTATAATACTAACCATGCTTTGTGTAATGTGCTCCGTATTTTTTCAGTTAAATATAGCAGATCAGAAAAAAAATGAAGCCCTCAACGATATCAAGGAGACAGGATGGAACCAAGTGTTTTGATTCCAGTGATGATGCAGTTTCCCCTTTCATGCTCACATTTAATTTGTTTAAATTACAGTATTGTGTTTAATAATTATGTTGTGTAATGAACACTCTAGTTTGTATGTTCACTGTAATCCTAGGAATATACCAAAATTTTACAGTGGCATCTCTCAGTCTGGTATCAGGTATTAATTTTTTTATTGCAAAACATCTGTGACAATATCAGAAATTCTCTGAAGGAATAAATGGAACTGGTTGTAAGTGTCTGWGAACATTATGGGCTTATTTGATTTGGGTCACCTTCTCCTTTTCCATAAAGATTTTTGAAGAAGTTCAGAGGTGAAGAATGAAGAAGTTCAAATGTTCAAATGTGAAGAATTGTTTCCTTAGATGAGTTTTATCTAAAGCTCTGGTAACAGTTCTTGGCTGCTGCATATTTTTTCCTCCTGAAGCCTGAGACTGCTCCTGGAGAAGATAATTTTGGTGTTGTGCTGTGWAAAGTCACAGCTGCCCAGCACTGATTGTCAGCCATTTTGTGGCTTGTATTAAGATACACGTAGCTCCTATCTAGAGCTCTCCCCTTCCCATGAGCTGTGCCGTGGGCGTCAGAGTGTCCCGTTACCTGCTCGCCATTCCGGGTGCCTGCCTGGCATGTGCTCCAGGTTTGCCAGGCTCTCTCTGCTCCTTTGAGTTGCAGTCATCTGCTGCTGTTTTCCTGACGCTCAAAACCAGGCCCTGGTTTACACTGCAYGAGGTAGATACGTTTCCTCCACACGTCCCCCTGCAGGTCTGTCTTATTCACAGGACGGTGCTGACCTCCGTGTCCCTGGGCTGAGCCTGTTTTCTGTCTCTCTTCCCTTCAGATGGGGTCCACAGCGTCACGGCGGTCTGCACCCTGCGCGTCACCATCATCACGGACGACATGCTCACCAACAGCATCACGGTGCGGCTGGAGAACATGTCGCAGGAGAAGTTCCTCTCTCCGCTCCTTTCTCTCTTTGTGGAGGGGGTGGCAACCGTGCTGTCCACGGCCAAGGACAGCATCTTCGTTTTCAACATCCAGAATGACACGGACGTCAGCTCCAACATCCTCAACGTGACCTTCTCAGCCTTGCTCCCAGGGGGCATTCGAAACAAGTTCTTCCCCTCTGAGGATCTCCAGGAGCAGATCTACCTCAACAGGACACTGCTGACCACGATCTCCACGCAGAGGGTGCTGCCCTTCGACGACAACATCTGCTTGCGGGAGCCCTGTGAGAACTACATGAAGTGCGTGTCCGTGCTGAAGTTCGACAGCTCTGCTCCGTTCATCAGCTCCAACACCGTCCTCTTCCGTCCCATCCACCCMATCAACGGGCTGCGGTGCCGGTGTCCGCCGGGCTTCACGGGYGACTACTGTGAGACCGAGATCGACCTCTGCTACTCCAACCCCTGTGGTAACAACGGGCTGTGCCGGAGCCGAGAAGGGGGCTACACTTGCGAGTGCTACGAGGACTACACTGGTATGTGTTTATCTTATCTATTAYCCGTGATTTATATGTTACACGGTCAACCGAGCCAGCTCCATATCATGCTGAAATTGCTGACATTCTTACTCAAAGGGAGAAAAACTCCTGGCAGCAGCATCTGGTGGAGGGAATTAYGTGTCACACGTTGCTTAGGATAAGTCCCATGGCCCCACACATGCAACTGAGCGGACCAAGTGTTGGCCCAGCCTTCCCAGGCGGGACAATATTGAGGTCTTGCAGATCTGCTCTTGACCTGTATCTAGCAGCCTGGTGACGAAGCTGCTTGGCCTTGTAGTTTACTTGATGACTATTAAAGGTCAAAGAGCCACTTTCCTCAACTGAAGTTGAGGAAAAAGCTACRGAAGAGAATTAGCTGGGAAGTGTTCTGGTGCTTCAGTAAAGTCAGAGGGATTTTTTGTGTTTGAAGCTATATGCATGTTTAAGTGTTGAGCACCTGAGGGCTGCCCAGCTGTCATTTACGCTGAAATTGCAGGAATGCCTGGCTTAGCCCCCAAAGTTATAAAAAATTGAAAAGATTAATTATTCAAGTCTTAATTTTAAACATGGCTACACGGCGTGCCTGCCTGCTGGGATGGGTGAAATCCCTTAAGGGGAAGAGTTTTCCTTCACTTTCATGGCTCAGGGTGGTAGTTAATAACCCAGCGGTGCGAGGAGGGAGCTGGMGGTGAGCGGGGACACGGTGGCCACAGCTAAATGAGGCTTTTTCCTCACAAGAGGGGCAGGAGGAGGAGGGTTCCTGCAGGTCAGAGAGGGCTTCAGGACAGCGGGATCCTGCAAAGCTACAGGACAAACCCTTCTGCCCGGGTGATGAAGTCCTGGATCCGTCTGCGATTTTCACTCTTTGCCAGTTTTCTTACCAGGCTCCTCACGAATGACTTATGCGACGGAACACGCTGTGAAGCCCATTTTCCCTTGTGAGGAATTGGTGCAAACGCTGTGCAGCAGCRGGCACCACAAAACACATTTTGTGACCAGTTCATTCCATTTAACTCGTTCATACAGAAATGGCTTGGAGTAGCAAGTCTCATTAAACAAAAAGATATCTATACATAAACTTAACTTATTCATGACTTAGGTACTGGAATAATGTTCATTCCTATCTGACAGGTTTTGAGGGTGTCATACTGGAAATCTCTGGAAAAAAAAGGCTGAATAAGCTAAACAAATAGAGTAGTCTTCTCCATATAAATAAGTCATGAGGACATTTAATAATTAACGCAGTACTCGGAGTAGACCAGGCGCACATTTGGAGATGTGGGGCCAGTGCGTCGTGTCATTTGTACACACAGCAGGATTTGGTCCATCACTACCCCATGGGCAGCGTGCTGGGCTCCTTCAACAAGGAGCTTCACCAGGCCGGGCCTGGCGAGTCTGGAAGCCCCATGAGCCAGGACAACTGGGAGAGACGTCCCCAGCCCCATTTAGGAGCACTCTGGAATCTTTAAACCTGTAAATTGACAGGAATATTATCAAATACTCCTGGTTTATTGCCAACGCACACAGCTGAAGTGTAGTATCTCCTCTGTGGCTCACTGACATTACATTAGTGCCTTGAGGCTCATCACTGCATGACAAGGTTTTCTTCACATTAAGCCTGACACACTTACCCACATGTGGTGGCTATTAAGTGGCAGTTGCTTTTAATCCCTGTTACCAAATGAGGTAGAAAGTGTTACCAACAAATAATATGTTATCAGAAATATGTTATGAAGCATTATTGAATCATGTTTGAATCATTATTGAATCATGTTGCAATCCCTTTTAAGAATTGTGCTATYTTACCCATTACTTTTGTCCTTCTTGAGATAATTTCATAGCCATTTAGAAGTTAAATTTGTATCTGTTAGTCATAATGATGTCTTTGCCCGTTATATTAAAAAATATGTATACATGATATACTCTGTATCTTCTTAACACTTAGCGTAGTTTTATTTGATAACATCAGTGCATATTGATTTATATAATGTAATGATAGTAGATGAGAATGAGTAAAAYACTGTTGGGAAGATGGCATCAACAGGGAGTTATTGCAGTGGTATTAACTCCGTGTAGGACTACTATACTAGTATGAGACATTTATGAATCTTTGAGTTAACTGTAAAAGATGAAATATGAGTGGTAGTAGACAGTGAAATGCAGCCTGYTCTGGAAACTCTGAAATTCCAGGTTCCCAATTACGAGCCCATGTAGAAAAATAATTGTAAGAAAATACTAGTAGCTGTCATCTCCTTGGTGAGATATGCTGAAAGTCGATGATAAATCACTACACAGTCATAACCCTGTACTGAATTTATCTGACTGGTCACCTGTTAAAAATATAGTATTTATTTCCTGTAGAAGATAATTATGTCCGATCTTAATCGGATGGAATTTCCCCCCATTTTTCCACCCTCCTTTGAAGCTCTCCATTTGTTTTGATGTAATTGTTAGTCATTTATACACGATGAAAGTTTCTCTCTCTTCGGGAGTCTTCTGTTACTGGCACAAAGGTAAACTGAGCTTTTACTAGGTATTTTTGAAATCTGAATACTCACTAGTTCTTGGATACTTGAAATTAGCTTCACTTCCTGTGCCGTAAGGAGGCGAGTGAACAAGGACATATATTTTTAATCTCCTATTTCAGAATAAGGACATTAGATGCTTTTGTTTTACCTGAATTTGCACACCTAGGTGAGTGGCACACAGTAACAAAGGTGCCATTGAGTGCAGGGAGCTACRTGCATGGCTGGGAAGCTGGAGGATGTAGTTCAGTTAAGCAAACAAATACAGTGCACACTGTGCAAAGCAGATGATTTTTTTCTGCTCTGTATCTATCTTGTGCATCTTTCAGAAGCAGGTGAAGTGAGCTCTGAGTGAAGGTGTAGACGGAGGTAAAAATGTCTGTACCTCACAGGGGCAAATCCCTGAAGGGCAGAAGCATCATTAGATCCACACAGACATTTTTGCTGCCACCAGTTCCTGAATGAGCTCCTCTTGGTTCTGGGATCYATGTCACTGAGGCTGTAAGTTGCCTCCTTTCTGGATAGAGAATCCCATGATTGCCAATGGCTGTGTTTCCTGCAGGAGCTGGTTCTCCTGCTGTGACTGGGATCCTTGCAGCAGCCCCTGCATCGCAGTTCAACATTTCCATAAATAAAATTGTATTTTGTACATAACAAAAGCACTCCMAAGAGGGAAAAAGAAACCCTAAAACAATAGAGATTCAGTGTTCCCRCTGTTGTCTTTAGCACAGGGCTTTCTCTCAGCCTCTTTTCTCACTTAACCCATAGCAAGGAGCAAGTTGAAAGGAAAAGATTGTCAGGAAAGTTCCCATGTCCTCCACATCTCTCCTTGGATTTCATTACAGGTGGAGGGAGAAATCTTAAGTGCTTATAAATCTTCTAGTAATCAAATACAGCAATTAGAGATTTTTGACATGTAAACTTTTTTTTCCCCCTTATTTATTTTTGTGATACCACATTGACATGAGAAATCATGGCATTAACTTTGCTGCCATGAATTCTCACGTTGTGCTGTGAGGCACAATTATAGCTGGTTTTGTAGAATGGTGCCAGGAGTCACTATTAATATTGTTTAGTAAGTTCTCAGCGTTTGCCTCTTTCCAGCAATGTCCTAACAGCAATAGTAAATGTGAAAAAATGTGTTCTTTGGTATCTTTACTTACATCCATTCTTCAGGCGGTAATTTCACTACCTGGTGCAATAGTAGATTCTCATTTTTCAGACCAGGGAGATGGATTTGGAAGAATTTCAGCTTTCAAGTACAGGAATCTGGCAGCCAGGGTAGCCRTAATGAGTATTTTATCTTAGCCTGGAGTGTCTGAAATTCCAGCCCGTTAMACTTCTGCAGCTCTGCTAAGCCATTGGGATCTAGGTTCATAACAGCAAAATCTTGTACAGTGGGTCTTAATATAATTGTTAAGGCAATACTTTGTACTGCCTTCAACAGTGCCTTTTATTTCCCATCTGGAAAGTTGTGATGTTTACATATATATTATAAAAATATGAAAAAATGGCAGATCTAATGCTGTAAAACCAGTATAATCCTTTTCAGGAGTTTAAATATAACTACAGTTGTTAGGGCATTGGGTGATTTGCAACAGGCAATTTGCACCTTTTTTCAGAATTTGGAGGCTGTATGTTCTCCCACTTGCACCAAATTTTAAGATTTTTTTTATAAAGTTATTTTACTACCTATGATATCCAGAGAAGTTGAGGAAAAACGTTCACTCTTCACTATTTAATTACGTGCATTGCTTCTGGAAACCTCACAGGATCTCTCGCTTGTCCTTGACGTTTCTGTATGGCAACGCTGGGAGAAATTGTGTCCTGAATGCTTCCACTCCTCCAGAAATAGGGAATTCTGTGCAACATTAGAAATTTTCCTTCTTTTTCAGCAGTGCTGCACCATGCTGTTGTTCTCATGTTTGTGGTCGAGRCTTTGTATTTATAACTTACACACAGTTTTTCCATTATTTCTGTGCACCTGCCCCTCTCCATAGCTGAGGTGGCCTTTCCACCTATAACAGAGGAATAAATGAATACCTCCTTCTAGGCTCCTTCCTTGGGATTAGTGCTTCCTATCCTGTTCTCAGCTCTTGTTTTCGCAGTTGTCCCAACACATCCTTTTGCGTCACCTCGTCTCACTTTCTTTATGTCCTGAGTATGATCTTTTTTATGAGGGAAACCCTCTTCTCTCTTACCAGAACAAACAGAGAGAGCAGCTGCTCTGGATGTTGMGGGCTCTGTCGCTGTGGTTGGCAGTGATTTTTCAGAGCATAACTGCCACAAAAGCTGCAGAAGCCTCTTCATTTTTTTTGTCATCATCTTCCATCGCTCAGCTATGCACCAGCTATGCACTTTGAGACGTAGAGTCTCATAAATCTTCCCAAAGCTTTGAAGTTTCCCCGTATGACCAATAAACCCCAGATGTTGTCCTGTGAGCTGACTTCGTATCTGCCCATTTAAGGCCCC